ATTTAAAAAAAATATGTTACAAATATTACGTTATTATTACGTCTACCCCGACCGAAGGCTTTCGTGATAATGGCAAATTACAATTTACATATGTCAGAATTTGCACTGATAATTGTCACAAAAACCGCGGATTGTAATCAGTGCTTGAAACTGACTAAAGTGATATGGATTTTTTTTTAGAATTATAGCCATATATAAGATTCAGTTTGTTAATGAAGGAAAATTCCATACTTGAAATAATTCAGGTGAATTGGTAATAGAAATTGTGCGAGAAAGCTTCGAAGATCGACTTGATTAGATAACAAAAAATTGAATGAAAATTGAATTGAATGATAATAGAAAACAGTTTCGTTTTGAAGTATTTTATTATGATGAACTAATTTGAATCTGAATTATTTTTAAATTTGGGTGTGAAATGTGGAAGGCTGAAATTTTGCCCTAAAACAATTTTCATCAACTTCTCAATATGCATACGTCTCTTCGATACAATTTTTGACTGTTTATTTTGATAATACAAAAAGCCAATTTTCGAATAAAATAGAAATGTTATCGTATTGTTATTTTACGGGTCTAACTTCGTATGAGTTGTTAGTAACAAACTGTTCGAAAGCTTTGTAATTGCTGTACCAATAGGCGTTTTACACATTTTACTTATGTTTTTATAGATCAGAGAGTTGCACTTATGAAAAGATTGTTATTATCATTTGTGAGTTTTGTAGGTTGGGTTTTATGTGTAAAACGCCTAAAACTTTTTTGACAGTTTGTTAGCATTTCTATAACATTTCTATACTATTCTCACCCAAAATATACATATTTTTCATAAATAATCACAATAGCAGTTTTTGAAATAGATTTTTTTCAACGTCAATCAAGTATTTTTCATGCAAATATCAGTGTTACGTATATTTTACTGTTATGATAGCAATAATAACAAAATTTATATTGTCAAGATTATTTATAAATATTAATAAGTACATACAAATTTATTGAGAATTGTATAAAAACAATTTAATTTGTCTTATTATAAATTTTACTTATATTTGAATTTTGTGCTATAATATATTCAAATTAAACTTTATTTCTCATTAAAAAATACACTATACTAGTGAAAAATGATTTTTTTTATGTATAATTTAAAGTATCGAAATCGAAACATATCTTCTGTAAGAACAATAAATTTTATGTATTAATTTATATCTACGAAAAATGATTCTAAAGAGTACTTATTTTTCTTACACCCAACTTGGGTGACCCAACCTATATTATTCTTTGTACACTTGGTTATTTTTCTAAACCTTTTCAATTATTATATTTTCTTTTTACTTATTTTGATGTATTATTTGAGCAAGTATCACTTCTGCTTGATACCAAGTTGACTGAAAGAGTACTTGATATTTGAACCTGGTACATTATAACAATCTTATATGTTTCAATTTGACTTTATTATTAACTTCCCGAAGAAGTTTGTTTTCATAAAAAAATCTGATTCGCTTATTTTAGGTTTTCTCGACGTTTCAAGCCATTCTGAATCGAATAAGACCAAATTTGGAAAAACCATGTATGTGTATGTGGGTATGTGCATGTGAATAGATTTTTTGCTGTAAATCAACGTTTTCTCAAAAACGGCTGGACCGCTTTCAAAATTTTAGAAGTCATTCGATGTATCTCGATGAGGACTATTGTTTGTCACAAACGGCCAAGCCGTTTTTTCGCAAATATCAGAAAAGTGCAAAGTTTTTCATCCACGTTTTAGCCAGCAATTCTGAATCGATTTTGAAAATTCAAAAATCGTTCGAAAGATATTGGTTGGGAATCGGCCTGATTAGTCTTTGGTAGAGATCGACCGGGCCGTTTTCTTGTAATAAAGTGTTAAAAAAATTTTTTTCGTCGATTTTTAATATTATTTTTTTGACGGTAAATACCATAGTCTTCCAGATCATACTGAAATATAACGGCCCTACGACAACTCGTTTAGCTTTAAAAAGTTGTCAAAGTTTTAAATATTAGTATGATTTTTTTCATTTGTTAAAATTAGAACTTTCATCGACGTTTGCTCAAAAACGCCTGAACCGATTTCAGAAATTTAATAACCATTTGATGTATCTCGATGAGGATTATCGTTTCTCAGTTTTGTGCGACGATCAGCCAAGCCGTTTCTTTGTAATTTGGAATAAAGTGTTAAACCTTTCGTCCACATTTAAGCTCATACTACCAAACCGATTTTAAAAAATCAAAAACTGTTCGAAAGATATTAGTTGGGAATGGTACTGATTAGTTTTAGGTGAAAATCTACCAAGACGTTCTTTTGTAATTAACTGTTGAATAAAATTTAAGCCAATTTTCATGGAACTTTTTTGGGCGATATATATCATGGTCTCATAGAACTTACTGTAATATTACGGCCTCACGACAATAAGTAGTTCAATTTTAAAAATTCATCAAAGTTTGAGAAAATGGGTAGTTCTTTTAACATTTGTTAAAATTAAAATTAGATGATTTACCTGGTATAACGATAAATGCTTGGTCTTAATGAACATACTAAACAATTAAAGTCCTACAAAAAACTGGCTCAATTATTAAAATTATTGATTTTTGAAAATTTGCTTTTAAAAAATACTCCGACCGGGTTGACGTGTTCGATTTTCAATAATGTGTAATAAATCCACTTCGAATACTTTTAACTACTCATAAATAATTTATCTATCATGAATTAAGTCGATTATTTACATAAATCGGGAAGTTCATGTAACTTGCCTCAAGGCAAAATACCAATATCGACTAGTTTTTTTTTTAATTTTTAGAACATTATTAATTGGTGAAAAGTGTAGTGAAAATATTGTTAGCCTTTTTTATGAGTTTACAAAATTGCATAAAATTTATGCCTCTGGACAAGAAATATTCTCTTTAAGGGGCACAAGTGTGAAATTTTGAAAAAATCGATTTTTGTTTTTTTTTCATATTTCGATAGACTACACTTTTAAAAATAACGTATTAAAATTTCAAATCGATATCTCAAATAGTTTTTGAGTTACAGCCATTTAAAAAGTATACATACAGTATATAGTACAACGATCATTTTATCTTTAAACGCGTTTTTCTCGAAACAGCATTTTCCAAATTTGCTGCAGTGATTACTCAAAAACGAATGATCCGATCACTATCAAAATTTGTTTACATGTTCTGTATATAGTTCTCCGTAATGTGAACTATCAATTTTTTGATCGGATCAAAAATCGGAATTTGGCAGTCGAAAAACGACCAAAATTTTGGGTAAATTGGAATTTTTTTTTAAAACGCCGCCATTTTGTCAATTTTTTATTTATGTTTTTTATCGTAGTTCACTTTACAGACAATATTATCTAGTTTAACGAGATTTTTTAACTTCCCGTAGGGCAAGTTATAGTAATCGCAAAAAAATCGAAAATGAAAATTTTTATATATCTTTACGTTTCAGAGGTTTCTGAACATTTTGGCATACCTTAGAAAAAATGGATGTATGTGTGTGTGTGTGTGTGTGTGTATGTGTGTGTGTATGTATGTATGTATGTATGTGTGTGTATGTATGTGCGGATACAAATTTTCGTCGACGATTTCGGGAACACGGATCAACCGATTTGAATAATTCAAAAAACATTCGATCCGTATTGATAAGGAGACGTGCTGATTAGTTTTTGGCAAAGGCAGGTCAAGCCGTTCCGAAGATACGGGGCAAAAAGTTCCGAAAACGGTAACTCAGTTTTTAAGAGAACGGAGCGTCCGATTTTAATAATTCAAAAAACATTTTATTTGTATTGACAAGATGAAGATGAATGAATCGATACAACTTTCATGAAGGTAGGTCCAGCGGTTTCGGAGATATAGAGGAAAAAGTAAAAAAATGAGCCATTTGGCGGTCAAAAATGATCATTAGACATATGCACATCAAATTATCAGACATTTTATAGAGATTTTAACAATAAGTATACATTTTGTTAACATTCCTATCGGTTCCGTACCAATGCTTATGCGTTAGACAGCGACGCGGCGCTTACGCGCTTTATATTTTGTCCCTATGTAGTTAAAGCAGTACGATTGCTTTGAAAAAAAAGTTCAGATCTTCCACAATATGTCAAAATAAAGAAAAAAAATTTTTTTCAAAAAAAACAAATTTTTAAAAAAAAAAAAATTTTTAAAAAAAATTTTTTTTTTTCAAAATAAAACTAATTTTTTGTCCAATTTATAGTTTCTCAAAAATCTTATTTTTTCAAAGTAATTTTTTTTCAAAAATGTTAATCGTTTTAAAAAAAAAATAATAATTTTTGGTACGGGAAGTTCCAGCAATTTGCCTTAAGGCACGATGCCCTAATTGCCTTAAGACAGAATTCCACTTACAGCTAGTTTTTTTTTTATTTCATCCACGTAGAAGGCCGGAATCACTGCAGCAGTTAAGGGCCTTTTTTGTCGCGCCGTTGGAGATCGACGATAACTTAAAAAATATTTAATTTTTTTCTTCAAAAATTTTACTATGTATTCTTAAATTACTATGTATAAATATATTTCCAAAATTTTGAAATGATTGATAAAGTAGTTTTTGTAATATAAATTCCCAAATATCACCTTTTTTTAGGCGGTTACACTAGTTGTGCTCCTTAATTCAATAATAACCATATAGTATTACAGTATAAAACAACCTAAATATATGCATTTTTTATAAACATCATCAATAACATTTCCCAACTAAATAATCAAATGGCAGACTATTAAACCAATATTGTTTCAAAATCAGCAATCATTTCTGCCACATGTACCAACTCCCAATACTACTACATACCCGCTCCCCCACTCCCCTTGCCCCTCATCTCCTCCCGTCGCGATTCGTCGGTCTGCCGGCCGTCCAGGAATAGAATCATCCTGAGTCAACCTTCCTTCAGACACACGTGTCCCCAATATGGATCAGCCGCTCTCTTTTGGATGAGCGAATCTCAGTAGTAGAAACGCGGCCGCCGTGCGCGTAACTGACGAACCAGGAAAAGGGACGGTAAAGGGAAAGTCAAAGGCGGTGAAGTGGGAAAAACGTCTCCTGATCTGGCCTGGTTACATATCGTCGTTAATAATCTCTTACCCTTTGTCCCTCTTACCATCGTATCTCTTTGTAAATCTTACCACGAAGAGACTCCAAGGCGATGTGGACCAGACGCGGCCTGGTCTGGCTGCTGTTGCTGGTGACACTGTTCACCGCGGGCCAGATCGATGCCAAAAAGAGCAGCAGTAGCTCAGGGAAAGGGGATGATGTCAAGGCTGGAGCCAAGGAACCGGTTATTGAGGAGGTCACTTCGAAGCAACTGGAGAGGCTGCTGAACGACAAGGATTTTGTAGCTGTGTTTTGGTGTGAGTGCAGAAGGAATATGAAATTTATTCTGAATTGATGAGATAAAGTTGACTTTGTTGTTGCAATTTTGTGTATAAGTGATTTTCTAGTGACAAGTGTACAAAGCAAATGTGTCTGCGTTGTCTACAAGCCCTGACCTTGATGCCTTGAAATATTCTTGTTCGATGATTCATTAACCCAATTGGATTTTTTTTTCATTTTGCCAATATATGAGAATAGTCATAACTCCACGATTTATCATTATCTTATGCAATCGTTCTTAAATCTGATTCCAATTTTAAAAAAATATAAAATAGATGATAAATCGATCTTTTTGGACGATGAGCGATTTTTCGTGATTTTGGTAACGACTCACTGGATATATATATATATATATATATATATATATATATATATATCTGATTCCAAAATTTCAAAAAGTATTAAGTAGATAATAGATGGATATTTTTGCACGACGTATAATCTACCGCAATTTTAAACCGAATTTCAAAAAAAAAATGACAGGCCATTTTTCAAGATTCTGGTACAATTCATTCTGTGATTCTTATCATGATTCTTTTAGTGAAGTTTTTAAGTAGTTTGAGTTTAAATTTTATTGAGCTTCATTATTTAGCATTTTGTGCTTTAAAATAAAGATAGTTCACCAGCTCTTCACATTAAAAAAAAAATTTATGATATTTAAGACAAATTTTTAGTTAAATTAACTTGTTACACAATTTACTTCATGAGATAAAGCAAACACTTTTTAATTTTTACTATTATTATTTTAGTTTGCTTCTAATTTGTCGATATATGAAAAAAATCATAATTTTACGATAAACCATTTGGTAACTCCCATTGCATTTCTTGGTTCTAATTTTTTTGAAAAATTATATTAGTTTGCTTCAAAGTAAAGAAATATTACCATCATTTCTCAATTTTTTAAAATAGCCAGATAAATATTACCATCTTTGAGCAATTTTCTAAAAATAATAATTCAAATGTAACATTTCTTTTAAACAAGTTTTTGATGTAGTGTATCTCTCGGCTTTATTGTTTTGTTTTTTGTTTCATTAATTTGCTCCGAAATAAAAATATATCTCCCAATCTTCTCAATTTTTTTAAAATTAAATTTAAGTGCATCTTGTATTCAATTTCAAAGAAATTTAGAGTAAATTTTTTTTTACATAATTCGTATTATGATAAAACTAGCAAAAACTACTTATTTTTAGTTGATTATTTTATCGTGATATTATTAACGAGTATTCGAAGATTTTTTTACTTTCTTGAGTTAAATTATGATATCGATTCAGAAGTTTTTCTTAAGTATTACATAATCATCAGCTGTTTTTCAAATTTTAGAAATTCTGCCAAAAAATGTAACAGTTTCATAGAAAATCCACACCAATTCTGATGAAAGTTTCACTTTATAGCAATCATGATAAAAAAATGTCCTGGTTTTGTTTGATAAACTCAGTTATCCCAGTTATAATAAAATATATCGCGATAAACATATAATAAATTTAATATAATAAATAAAATATAAATATAAATATTTAATTTAATCACTTTTGAGGAAATTTGCAATCTAAAATGGCGCCCCGATCCACCTCGATAAATCCAGTTAACCTACTTAAATTTTCGACATCAATCGCGTTTTGTGCTATAAACTTTACTTTATTTCATGGCTAATTTTATAAATAAAGTGCTGAACTAAAGGCCACCACATTCAATGTAGTGCGATCCGAATTTAATTTAAAAATAGTCCAAAAAGCCCACCTTACATAACATTCAGCAGAAGGCTTGTAAGTTTTCTCAAGTGTCTCTACTAAATGTGTTCGCCAAATATTCAACTCGAGCTGTTATATACTATCATGATAGTATATAGAAAAAGTTATATATATTTAATTTTGTGTGTCTTACCAACCAGTATTAGAAGTATTTGTGTCTATTGTTGTGGATACAGGACGAGCTAGAAGCCTTGGGTTATTCTTAGGTTTGAAAAATTTCACAAAATCAGTTTGTTTTTTTGAAATTCGATCTAACAGGAGGAGAATGTAAGTCACTTTCTTATGAAACATACTTGATATATATATATATATATATATATATATATATATATATATATATATATATATATATATATATATATCTGTGTATATATTTGATGACATAGCACCACATATAAAAAGTAAAAATTTTAGAGAACATATTTTTTTCCATGTTTTGACATATTTTACGCCATCAACAGTGGGTATCATAAAATTAGAGATAAATTAAAAAAAAACATAAATAAAAATAAATGTAGTGTTTATAATTGGCAGTATCACGTGACACTAAAACTTTGAGTGATTGTGTATTAATTAATTATCAATTTTTGGGACTATAGCTTATTTTACTAGTAACAACGTCAGTTAAGTCGCAAAAGTTATATTTTTCTCAAAGCAAACAGATTTTTTCAAAATGTGTAGTACAAATTACTATAGTTGATAATGAAAATAAAATTACTTTTTAGTTTTTAATAATAATTTTTATTTGACTATCTTAATTATCGTTTTCATTTGAGCCAGTTTCATCATAATATATTTTGATATTTACTATTTACTTACTATTTAAATTTGCACAAAATTGGTAAACCACAGCTAGATATAATTTAATTAACCCTGATGATGGCATAAAATTATATATCGAAACGTTTCGTGAAAAATTAAAAAAATCTGTGTATCCCATATATGAATTAGAAAATTTTGAAAAAAGGATTATTTATGACTTATATCTTAAATGAATATTGTTATTAAATTTTCAAGCACAATATTTTTCTTGATATTTTTGTATCAGCCTTATTATCGAGCTGTCATTTTTATGATATTTTGAAATGAAAAATGAATTATTTTTTTGTCAATTAAGAGCATGCATTATGATCAATTAGAACTGAATAACCCGTCATTGTTGATTATTTTTCTGTAATATTATTATAATGCAAATACTGTACATACCATCAATTTTTCTTTTAATTTTTTAATACGACATAAGAAATTTAGGTACGTTGCCATAACTTGGCTAAAACATATATTTGTAATTAGAACTGAAAAGATAATTTATAAATAAAGAACGTTTTTTGCTTACCAATATTGCCCCTTGCCTACAAAATATTTCTTAATTTTATTTCAAGTATTGGTAAATAATTATTTTCATAAGTGTTGCTATCAATATCATCTTTTGCTCATTTTGAAAAGTAGTATGCACCACCTTCCAAAAATTTAAATCATCATAATATTTTACTCCTGAAATAATAAAAATTCAGAACTAAAATTATTATTGATTATCCTTCATTAGGAATGTAATAATATATTAAAAATCTACATTACGATGAACATTTTACTGATCTTATTTTATATTTTTTTATAAAGCTATCCATAAATATTCTACTTTTCTTATTTTTTTAATTTCTTATTACACATAGTTTGAAACTAAAAATTTTACAAAATTACATGGAGGTTGTATAAAATACTTGTGAATAAACAAACTTTTCAGCTAAAAGGCAAATATGAGAATTAGTTAAGAAAGTTCAAGTTTCAATAGTTTGAATATAAACTTGAAATATAATGGATCGAAAATAAATATTAAAATTTAGCATAGAATTAATTCAAGAGCGTAATCACAAATACTGTAAATAAACAATAATAAGTAAATTAAAATCATCGAAAATTTTTCATACAAAAGTATAATGCTTCTCAAAAGACGAGTAAAGATAATATTAATCAATCGCCTTAAACATTGATGAACTAAAAAACCAATAATTAAATTTAAAAATTATTTGAGAGTGAAATTTGGATTCAAAGTTTAATTTCAATATTCAATTTGTAATAATTAAATTAAATTGTAATAATTAAACATGAGGACAATTAATAATTTTCTAACTAATATTTCAATTTGACAGATATGCCTCTTGGTTAAACAATGATTTGTAATAAATTCAGAGATTCTAACACAGAAAATGTTATAAATAGTTAAATGATAATTTCTATGGATTCAAGTTAGTAAAAATTTAAAAAATCTTTTTATTTACTACAATTTATACTTGTTTCAGACAAAATTGTCTTTTCACCATAAAGTATCTTAGGATATAAAACAATTAAGCGACAGTAGATTTAAGCAATTGTACGAATGACACCTAGACAAATAATGTAAATCAAAAGCCAATAAAACAAAGTAGACGACAGTACTTAAAAGAATGTAGTTACTCATCTATTAACATTCTTGATGTCACTTTACTTTTTACTTTACTTTGACTTTACAAATTATTACTTTTTAAATGTATCATAGGAGAACATGTTTATACTACAATAGGTCTAATTTCGAATAAATTTCCATTTGATATTTGAATTTTCCCAGCCCTGCTCGTCCCCGATTGAGCAATCATTTGTCTGAGCATTTTCCGATGATGGCATTCGGCATTCGGCATTCAGCATTCAGCATTCGGTTCACTTGATACGCTCTCGAGGCGATGTAGATGTTGCAAAACGTCGTCTTAGCCCGACACTTCTAATTTTATAATTTTTACTGTTGATTCAAGCAAGCTCTAGCCTAAGAGGTCGCCCAAATAGAATAGAACGAGAGCCGGGTAACCAAAATATATTGTATTACTTTTCCATCAAAGTTTGAGAAAAAACATAAGTAAAATATTGATTGATAAAATGTTATAAATGGTCAAAATTACACAAGTATTTAAAAATTGACTAGTTCTAGTAACATTTCCGCGACATTGTAACAAGAAGAAACCCATAAGCACAATTTGGTCAGATGTTGAGCGTCATTGGCGCAGTCTTGCTGTCATCAATTCATATGTAATGAGAAGTTTATTAGCTAGGTAACTTTCTCGTGTTTTTGTGGACCTATTTTTTGATAATTATAATTATTTTTAATGAAATCAATGAGCATATGCCAGTACTGGTAAATCTGTTTCATTTTATTGCAAAAGTTAGGTGTTCGTACTTCCATTATATATTTTCTTATTTTA